ACCCCTAAAGCGGAGGGAGAAAGCTGCTCTTGTGAAGCAGCCCTATGTGTAGATCTCCCAAGTTGATCCTGGAATGATTCCAAGGATGCCCTGTGAGCAACAGTAAGAGGATTTGTTGGGGATAAAGAGCAGAAGAGCTGCCATAGGAGTTTGTCTTGCTCAGACGAGGAGTTGACTTGCTCTCTGTACTCTGTTTCAAGACTGGAATCAGTGGGTTGACATCAGGGAAGTAGATTCAGGCTAGTTATGCGGAGACATATTTTGCTTGAAGGCAAAAGCTGTCAACCAGTGGAACAGGCTGCCCATAAAGAACATGTTCCTTTTCTCTGAAGATCTTCAAACAGGCTGGATAGCCATGTGTCTGAAATGCTGCTGCAAATTGGTGAGGTCTCTTCCAACTCTTTGATACTATGAGAAAATGGAGCGGGAGGACATTAATCAGTCCAGAGGATTACCTCAAGCAGGGAAGGCAAGGGAGAATCTGTCTGGAGGAAAAAGCATGAATGCGGTACCTTTTATTTACAAAAGTGTGCATCCAGATATCTTCACTCTGTGTTCTGGAGTTTCCAACCCATTGGAAATTTTCTGAATGAATTGCCACTGTCTAGCTTCTGTTATGTGTCCCTCCCCATCTAGACCCTGGCAGCCTCTAAATGTGAAGACGGCCCTCATTTCACCCAGGATAGAGATGTCTAACTGGGTAATCTGCATACAGATGATATCTCATCCTGGCCCTGCAGATGACCCCTTTGGGTGGTTCACATAGATATAACTGGGGAGAAGAGTGAGCCCTCAGGCACCCCATAATACTTGCAAGGGAATTGTCAGCAAAATGAGCAGCATATTCAAAACACACCAAAGCAAGTTCCTAAAATGCATATTTTGTCAAATTGGAAATGCTAAGCTGTACAGCTTTGGTTGCATTTTGAGCAAAGTGACATCTGCACCTATTTTGCTTAATAGGTCTATTTTGAAAATGAGTACATTGTTAATTCAGTTATTAATAGCAGTGTATGCTATGTGACAACATAAAGGTTAACATTTCCATGAAAATATTTTAAAAAACAGGTTTCATTTTGTAAAATAGACTTGGAAATGGCATTTCTGTGGAGCAAATCACATATTCTTGAGGCTCTGAATTGGATCAGTAAGAAACTCTGATTGGGTAACTGTAGGTGGACAAAGATTTGTAATAAGCAGAGTTTCCGTTCTGAAGTGTTTCATTCCAGAAGTTAGGACTGGCCATTGAGATTCGTACCTGGAAGCACAGAAAAGGTTCTCCAGGCCATCAGGAGACAACAGGGCAGACGATCTCAAGTCCCCTAAGCCTTAGCCAGCCCACGAGGCAACAGAGGACTTGAGGTGAGGGACACCCGGCCTTCCCAGCATGATGCGTTAGGACCGTAGGGTCTTATTTTAAGCAGTCTGAAGTGACTTGGGGGCAGAGAAATCTGATCAAAGCAACACAAGGCTCTGCTGTGCCGTGAATGTGAACTGAGGGCTGATCTGATGCAAAATGGAATTGCTTCATGACAGAGACTTCTCCCTTAACCTACGGAGAACGTTTGCACACCCAACAGGTGTCCTTCTGAGGATGGGGATTGCTCCTTTTAATGAAGACATAAGGGATGCCAAGTGGTCACTGGAATGGGCTAAAGTACAGGCCCGAGCATAGAAGTAGCCAGGAATTCCTGTACATGGAGGCCCATGATTTTCAACTTGCCAATACGTTGCCTTTCAAGAGAAACCCATCAGAATTGATGCCAAAAACCCTGCTTTATCCACCAGGCTCTCCTCCGCTCACAGCTTGAAAGGTTTTTATGAGCTATGTCTGTATCTGCTTTGGTGAGGAAAAAATATTGTTAGCTGAAGCCACCTGGCTGTGGCAGCATGATTGTCAGCAGTCGGTTTCTTGAAAGAGACCCTTATTGAACAGAGGCGCCGGGTGGATCCTTTCTCTGGGTCCCCGCAGGAAGATGCCTTGGAGCCCTTCCTTAGCGGCATTTTGCCTTTTTTCCAGTTTTGGAACATTTGCCTTCCATCTTTTCAATGAATGGTGCCCTGAAGTGTAAATTACATGTTACCTTAAAAAGAAAGTTAGCAGCCATCTCTGTTGTAATTCAAAGACAGGCGCAGGCAATCCAATATGAGGGCTGGAAGGTTTCTGGGTTCTGTAGTTCTGATCTGGCCAAGGCCTGAAATGAAGAAGCAGATGATTTATTGAGAAAAGCAAGGGAGGCAGAAAGTTAAAGGCCACGTCACAACTTGCTCCAGTTTGACTGGCCCCTCTCCCTTCGGATACATTAGAGAGCGTACAGCCCATTTAAAAAATATTTTTTAATGACTGCTGGTATTTCTTGTAAACTTCCTCTGAAGGTTTTGTGTCATGAAAGATGGGCAGTGGTAATTAAACAATGCTGTAGTAATTAAAAAATGCTGCATTTTGAATCCTGAAAACTATTCACACAAACATGCAACACAATTTGACACTTCTTCAAATAATTTACTCAGCTGATAGGGGCGATTCAGCTTGGTACGAAAGCTACGTCTCACATGGAGCTGAGGCAGGAGTAAACCCCGTAACCCTTATCCTTATCTCCCTTACACTGGATCAAGCTGAATCAACAGAAAGGCTTTTCTGTTGGGCACTTGACATGGGAATGCATCTCGTTGGATGCCGGCTGGTGGCTTTCGGAGCCAGGAGACAAGGTGGCTTTTCCCTCCCAACACCTGTAATCTGTAAAGTCAATAGCTTCTGGCATCAATCTCATAAAGCTAAGCAGGGTCAGATCTGGTTAGTTCTTGGATGGGGGACTATGAGGGAATTCCAGGTCTGGACTTCGGAAAACATTCCAGAAGGAGGGAGTGGCAAATTACTTCTGAAATGCTGCTAAGAAACCCCAGGATTTGACGGTAGGCATGCTTATTTTTGCCCGAGCAAGCCCTCAGTCCATAATTGCTTCTTTGCTAGTGTCATTTGTTCATTACTGCGTGTTTCAGATTAAATTATTTTATTTGTTTTTTTATAATTTTACCTTGTTTCTGTGGTTTGTAACTCACCATTAGATGTTTTGGGTGGTTGATAATTATTTTAAATGAATAAATCATATTAAACTTGGCAGAGAAGTGCCGCTTCCCCCATATTTTATTGGAAACTACTGGCCTGTGCCTGTGGCAGTTTCATGTAGGCCCGGGCTTCTGCCCAGCTGTACCGCTCCTCTGCCAGCTGAACCCTAACCGGGTTCCCACTGACTGCAAACACCCCCTTGGTTGGAATGGCAGCATCTCAGCGCTTCTGGAGATGCACTGGACCTCCCTTACTGGTTGCTCACGTAAGTCAGTTGTACAGTGAGATTATATATTTGTTATGGACAGTTATCTCTTTAATGAAAGGATTGTCACCTCTGATCCTTCCTATAAATTATGAGCTGTGTAAGTACTGCTGCATTTCAGTTACTCCAGCTAATGTCCTGCTTGCACTGTAGCTGGAAGTTTCCCTGAGGGGACATTCCCTACTGGTAAGAGCAGTTCAGTTATGGAACCAGCGGCCCAGGGAGATGGTGACTTCTCTTCCTTGGATGCACCTAAGCAGAAATTGGAGTGAGCGGCCATCTCTGGGGCAGGCTTTCGTTTGGAGCAAGAGGTGGGGCTTGGGGGTGCTCATTGGCCCCATCCAGCAGTACACTTCTAAGAACTGGAACCAACTTATCTTCAAGCCAAATTTGATTAGAAAATTCAGTGTGGCATCTGTGCTGGAGCACAGGAAACAAGTAGAAGCCATGATGATGTCAGAATGATGTTCTGTGCATCATGACATTATTGCAAAAATGATGTGAATTGCACCATGACATCACAGTGCCAGTAATTTTGTCATTGGCATGACAACATTGCAACACCTGTGACCTTACACAACGCACTGCGGACAGTCACTTCACATTTCCTTATTCCTCCCAAGGCGGCTCAGTCATGCTTCACGAGGATCAGTTGGGATTATCGGTTTTCAAAATGCCTCCATTTCAAAATGCTGCCAGGAGCAATGATGTTTCTGTTCCCTTTGGCTCCACTGTAAATAAGGTACTTGAGGAAGGGAAATAAAGTTTCCCCTTGTTTCCTTTTAAATAAATTGAATTTTCAGCAGAAAGTGATTGTGTTTTGTGTGTCAAAAGGAATGTAAACAAATCATAAGTCAGTGTTGTTAAAAATATTTTATATGACAGTTGTGCTGTTTAACAATGATTTTCATGCCAACAGGATGATGGGGAGCCAGAAACAGTGTCAGCAGGGGGTGGTCAAAACAGTCAAGATGATGGGCTGCCGTCAAAGCCTGCCCCTCTTTTAGAGGAGTCACATCTGTGGCACACAAAAACGGGCAGGGGTTTGATCACACGGTTACAGCCATCATCTGGGGTTCTTGATCCCTCCCCCAGACATCCCTGGGAACAAGGGTGGTCCCACACTCTTGTTTTTTTTATTTTAATTTCTTTGAAAAAGTAAGACTCTCTAATATGTTAAATCTACTATTTCAATTTGGTGGATTACCTGGCGATCTGCTTTCAGCTGCCAGATGTTTCTGTATTAGTGGGGCAAGTTGGTGCGACTCCTTCTCAGTAGGGTATCAGTGGGGAACCATCTGTCCAGAAAACGTTGGCTGCGAACTGAATCCACTTCTTATAACAGCGCTGTTACAAGAAGAAGGCAAAAGAAATTAAATCTGAAGGGCTGCAGAGAGATGGGCTGCGTCCAGCCATCCTCAAGTCTTCTTTGAAACTTACAGGCGCTGTTCTCGAGGCAGCCATCTCCTTCATCCTGACTCAGAAGCGAGCCAAAAGCCACAGTGGGTCATCACAGCTTTACGACTTGATTTGTGGCTGATGAAAAATCCAAGAAATGAGCTAGACAGTTTTACTTTTTGTCTTCCCGGTGGCTTAAGAAAAATCACTCACACTTTTCTCTGTGTGCTGTTATTAAGTTTGGAACCACTCTTTCTTTTGTCTTCATAGGCCCCGGGAGAAGTCATCAACACACTCTGTGGATACCGGACTCTAAATCAACAGGTAGCAAACTCCAGTTCACCAGGCTGTTGGATGCCAAACCGCGTGGGCAGGCAGGGGGGAACCAGTGCTTTGGGGAGTGTTGCTGCTGATCTCCTCCGCAGAGGAGAACCGACCCTGGCTTGGGGCAGCTTCTGAGGTCAGACCGCCTTGGTCACTGCGGACGCTGCGGATGAAGATCTGAAAGTCCGAGGGTGCGCCCAGAGATGGCAGGCCCTGGGCAAGGCCGGGCCCTGTGCCAAGCCTTCTGAACAGGCACTGCCTGTAGAGCTAGTCTCATCTGCCCTTTAATGGCGGGGTGGGTTTTGTCCTCCTTTCTTTTGGAGAAGGGAATAAAAGTTGGAACTTCAAACCCTGCCAATGAAAGTCTCATCCCATGTTCCTTGGCACTGTTTAGAAAGAGAACCTGCTTTATTTTTCATTTAACACCCCCCCCCATGTTTATTCAGAAATAATTAAAGAGTTAATGTCAAATTCAGAGCCAAAATGTCATTCCCCTTCTATTGAGCAAGTGCAGTATTTCAAATACTGGATATAAGCAGTGTGAGATGCCAAACCCATGTTCGCAGAAAGAAATAAAATGTCTTGCTAAATCTGGGATTGGTCTTTCAGACATTCTTCTGCCATTAAACTTCGCAAGGAAAGCCACAAGAGAAGGCATTTCAGTGATGTTAAAGGGACTAAGTGTAAGAAACTGTTTGGGTTTGAAATTAGCCTTGCCACAAACCCTTGCAACATTTCCATATATAAGAACACAGCAGAACTCAGCTTTGGAATTCTTTCTGGCCCCTTTCTATGGAAGGCACCTGTATTTTCTTCTGTGTAACAAAAAGTGGGTGTGTGTTTCTGCTCTCCACCTTGTGAGGCACCTATAGTATGTGTGATGGTGTGCGTGCATGTGCCAGGAAGCGGGGACCATACAGTACCGATAGTCCTCGCTTAGCAACCACAATTGGGACCAGCAATTCCATTGCTAAGCACCACGGGTGCTAAGCAAAACATCATGTGACTGCAACGGCTTACAATCTCACTTCCCATTGAGTCATTAAGTGAATCACCCACGGTTGTTAAGTGAGACATCACATGACCACAACTTCTGATTTTAGTGCTGCCTTCTCCATTGACTCAGCTTGTTGTAAGCCAGTTGCGAAGCACACAAATGGCGATCACATGACAGCGGGATGCTACAATGGTTATAAATGCAAGGACGAGTTGTAAAGTTACTTTTTCAGCACAGTAGTAACTTCAAATGGTCACTAAACAAGGCGGTTGGTAAGCGAGGACTACCAGTATACAGTCTGCTTTGGGTCGTGTGACCAGAGGGTGGGGCTTAGAATGGAGCAACCTCCAACATTCCGAGCTGCTGCCTAGCTGCCCCTCCCCCAGGATGCCTTAGAATAGTATTTCTCAACCTCAGCAACTTTAAGATGTGTCGGCTTCAACTCCCAGAATTCCCAGCCAGCCTATGAAATTTGATCCTGTTCTGGTCAGCTTTTTTAGAGTTATCCTGGCGATCAATTACCCTGGTCCCCTTTGCTTTATTTCTTTCCATCATTCTCCTGAGTTGGAAAGAATAAAAAGGATTAGACCATTTGGGAAGATCTGCCAATTCCAGGTGAAGACCTCTGGGAGCAGGACTGAAGATGAGAATGCCAGCGTATCTGGGTCTCAATCGCAATCTTTGCTGGAGCCGCAGGAATCTCCTGCACGGTCTCGGTCACTGTACCCCAAAGGGGGGGTGGGGAGCTGCGGTCATGATTTTCGAGCCACCCTCCTCAAAATTGCTCTGAGAGTTGTGTGAATAGCCAGCCAAGCCAGAGACCCAGGGGAACTCCCCTGGGAAAAAGCCTCCACAACTGGAGGATTCACTTAACACACTTAATCTGATTACTGAGTTAGCCCCTTAGCAGAGTGTAAGCTAACCGGCCAGGTTTGCGCAACTCAGTCATATCTGATAAAGATTTGTTTGTCCACCATGCTAACTTGATTAGCGTTTTTGGTGGTGTGCAAACCAGCATGTTGGGTAAATTTTGGGGTACCTGCTGGATCTCAGTATTTCTTTAACGTTTCCGTCAGTCAAACGTAGTAGCAGATCCTGGAGTTCTAGGCGCCTGTGACCTGTGACGGGAGGAGGCAGAATCATGTCACTGATTCGAGATTTGTTCTTTTTGTAGCGACTGGAGCTGGTGAACACAATTCACGTGCGCGGCTGCATCCACGCAGTGAGCTTTTGGTTCAAAGACCATTTTGAAGCCACTTTTGGGATTGTTTGCTCTTTGCTCCTTCCTCAGGTAAAAACCACTTTTGTTCTCTGATGTTATTTGGGGGTGTATGCATTTTGCCCATGAAAGGGCAGCACAGAAGCAGAATCTTTGTTTAACTGGCACATAGGGAAACTTTATTCCAGAGGCAGCAGATCAGTGTGTACTCGGGGACATCTGCTGGGGGAAAGATCAAAATAGTAGAAATGGTGGTGGCAACCATCTGATGGTGGTGCCAGCCTTGACGTTCTGACCACCCCACGAGCCCCCGCAGGTCCTAATGAAAAAGAACCAGGATCCATAAAACATCCAGTTACTGTCTTTGTTGGGCCATTGCCAAGTTAGCCAGGATAATTAGTGTTTCCTCTACAATTGCCATCTTCCCTGTGAATCAGGGTCCCTGGGCATCCCAGCCTGGTTGCTGTCCCTGCAGAGGGAGCTGCTGGGACGATTGGAAGAAACAGGCTGGCCTCAGCATCCCTGCAAAAGCCAAGTTCTGCCATTCCCCAGCGTTCTCTTTCAGTAGCTGCATTTTTAGAGTATCCAGAGCTGGCGTTTCATCATGGTTCCCTCTTCTCTCGGTTGCCCTCGGGTTCCTTTCTGCAAGTGCCAGCAGTGCCACTGCAAGCCTCAGACTTGCGGGGTCTGAACGCGCCACCCGTAGCTTGAACACTCCTGTGGCTATTGGCCTGCAGCATAGTCAACCCCGGAGCAAGTCTGCTGTCGCTGCCGCTGCCACCAAGCATCAGTCTTCAGACCAGCAAAGCCCCACAGTTTCCCAGCACGGAAGAGGAGAAAGAAGGACAAGGAACTGAGCATACAGTTTACAACCTGAATCCCATGCCTCCAGTAGCTGCACTTACGCCCACCCCTTCCCCGGGTACAGATGAACCCTCCTGCACCTGGGTTCAGCATGGAAGAGTTGGAAGAGTAGAAGGATTTTCACCTCACCATCTTCAGTTGCACAGCCACCCATGGTCCACCTGTAAAGGGGTCTCTCCCCATATCTCTTGGCTCAGATTGACTTGGTTGGGGGCACATCATGCTCCTTGATCTTTTCATTGTCTAGGTCAAGGACCAAGGTCCTGTTCACTATACTGGCAAGAGAGCTTTAATCTCCATCTGCATAGCCCTTCCGCCATCTGGGGCACCAACAGTTCACCATAGGAGGCTCACTGCCCATACTCCTCTGTCCATATGGAGTTCTTCTGCCCTCCTGGTCACTCAGCAGGTCACTTAAGGGGCTGCCTTGATTGGAGCATGTGGCATGGACCTTCCTTCTACCATCTGGGATCATGTGGAATTGAAGGCTGCTTTCAGGATGCAGGAAGAGCAGAATATGATAGAAGGAAACATGTAGGAGAATGAAGAGAAAGTTACTGAATGGTTCAATGTAGAGCCAGGAATAAAACAAGAATGGGTTATATCCCTTGGTAGCTGAATATATTTATGGGCTCTTTCTAGAAGGCATGCTGGCGGTAGCATCAGAGGGGTTTTAGGCAGGCATGTGGATGCAGATTTACTTTTGTGTGCAGACAATGCCATGTTGGCTGAGAATCCAAATGATTTGCAACAAATGTTGGATAGGTTATATCAGTGTTTGGCTGGCTGGGGATTTCTGGGAGTTGTGGTCCACACATCTTAAAGTTACCAAGACTGAAAAAAACTATGATACAATGAAGAACATGGATTTGAAAATTAATGTCAGAAAGACAATGTTAGTTTTTATTTTACAAGGAAAAATCTTGATTGTACACTATACAGAAATGACCAAATTAGAACATTTAGAACAATTTATGTACCTTGACAGAATACAGTATGTATTTAAGGTGGAAAAACCATAAGAAATGCAAATGCCTATAGAAATGCATATGGCTGTTTTATAGTCTTGCAGGACATTGGCAAGGAATTGAGCAGGACAGCCATATAACATTAAATTGTCACTGAGCTAAGTTATAAAGCCATAAAACAGTCCATACACCTTCGCTGGTGCTGCAAAGGCAAGACAGAAGCAACACACAGGGTTTCAAGAGGTGAGGCATGGAGCATGGTCTGGTCTGGAAGGAATGACAAAACACAGCAAACCGCTAAGACAGTTGAAGAAAGCCGTTCCAGGAAGTGGTGGCCTCCAGAGGAGTCCCCTATAGGCCCATTCAGGTGCAGTATGGAACTCTGCTTATTTTGCTACACTCCAGTCCTGCAAAGCATTAGCTCCCACCATCAGTCATGCTTGATAGGCAGCTTCTGGGTCTGCACCTTAGCTTTCTGAATTGGGGGACGAGGAACCCTTGCCCCTAAATCCAGTCCATATCCTCAATAGCAGATCTAGGATCCAGGAAACTCTCAACTCGTTGCTGCCATCTTGTGGTCCTTTGTACTTTTTCAGCCCAGATCTGACTTTCTAGGGCTGGCTTTCTGGGGACCTGGTTGGTCCAATGAGAAAGGTGACACATGTGACTGAGCCTCAACAGCACAGAATGAGGGTTTACCGAATGAATAAAAGTTGCTTCTGCCCACTGGGTTGTATGGAAGACAGGAGTATGTCAGGAGAAACAAAGCGAAGTTGAATGCAGTGAGATTAGACTACTTGTGTGTGGAGTAAAGTAAGCAGAGATGGGATCAGGACTGAAGATGGACTGGGTGCAAGAAACAGTGACAATATGGGAAAAAATGCATGGAGGTGGTTTGGTCATGCAGAAAATATTTATGAGGAATGAATCCTGAAACAAATATATGAGGGAAGAGTGAAAGAGCTGAAAGAAAGTGGGAAAGTGAGAAAGTTATGGTTGGATGGAGTTTGAAGATCCTCTGAAGAATGGAAGTGAGAACTTTGAGGAACAGAAGGCAGTGTACGAAGAGGTATGGAAATAAGGGTGATTTGCAAGGACAGAAAGATACCGAGACATGTAGTGATTAGTGTTGATATAAATGAGTTAACTAGGTTTCCTTTTCCTTTTTTTTAATGCATGTCTTTAACTTCTTTGACTTCCAATTTCTTACTCCCTTCCTGCATTGTGAACAATGGGAAGAGCATGATGGGCATGTGTGTGTATCTCCTTGGTGTTCCAGCCAAATGGCCAGTTATTCCCTTCTGCAGCCTAGAAAGTTCCCATCCAGCCATCCCAGCAGAGCTTTGTTTATTACCTGGATGGGGATCATAATTGGAAGGGCTCCTGCTCTGCATTTTCCTTTTTGGGAAGGCTAAACAGACAATGTGAGCTCAGATGTCCTTGTTGTAAACACAGATGAGGATGCTAGAAGCTTTGCTCTGTGGCACTCTAGCTTTGCTCTGTGGCACTCTAGCTTCTCCTAAAATACAGAATGAAATGTAAATGAAAGTCAGCTGGGGTAGGCAACCTGGTGGGCCTTGAGGCATCCTGTGGTGCATAATGGTCTTGCTTTTGCACAGTCCTGTCCTGAGTACCCATTTATCAAGCATGGGACATTTCATTACCACAGTGGGGCATGGGTGAAGGGATATGCTTACATTTCTTTTTAATCTCTTCTAAAATGGCTCCATATCAGCTTGGAGGAAGTATTGAGTGGAGTGCCACAACGTTTTTATTAATGAGCTGGATGAAGGGGTTGAGGAATGGTTATCAGCTTTGCAGGTGACACAAAATGACGAAGAGCGGCTAATACTTCAGAAGAGGAAGAGGACATTCAAAAAGTTCCAGGCAGGCTTGAGCAATGGTCAGAAATGGAAGGAACTGAACAGGGAGAAACATAGAATGTAAAACTTTTCAGAGTAAGAAAAATTAAAGGTACAAGTCTAGGATGGGGAAATCTAGCTTGGTAGGAACATATGGGAAAAGGATCTGGGGGTCCTTGCTGACCACATCACAGGAGCCAGCATCTCTTCTGTCATCCGAAGAGGACACTAAGGACTTTTCAGAGAAAGACAGTTACTGGGACTGGGGTGAGTGTGACCTTTCAGGTTAAGCTCCTTCGTGATGAAGTGATAGAAGCAAATATGTTTTAAAAGTCTCTGTTGAAAGCTTTGTTCCACTTTACTCTTCTGTTGAAATACAGATGTTCCCATCAGTTTATCTTGGACATTTTACTGGCGGTCTGCAAAATTAGGCCTTAGAAGGCTTGGCAACTGGCATTCAGAAATGGCCTTCCTTCAGTCCCACTGGCCTCCGGAGTTTAATTGTTCCCACTTCCTCTTACGCTGGCAGGCTTCCTGCAAACTTTCTCATGACTCCATCTTTTTCCTGTTTTGCTGGCCAGGTTTAAGCCTGCTTCCTGTACCAACATGGCTTATTTTTATTCTTTCTTTCTCAGCATTCATTATTTTCCCACCAAAATAGCTCTATCAGGAGCATTGCTTCCCTTGCTTGCTGCTTCATGTCCTGCTGTCCCGTTTGCAAGTGATACTGGGCTAAATGCTCTCTTGCATCCCCCCTTGCCCCCCAAATCAGAAGGATGAGAAATGCAAGAACATAAAAAATGCTATGAGGAAAGGAGCCTGAAGAAGATTAAAAGCCCAATGTCTTGCTTATCCTTGGGAACAAGCTATTTTGATATCTTTATATCTAGCAGTTCCTCTTTCCTCTGGAAAGTTTGGCTCAAAGCCATCAAAGAACAGCATAAATAAAATTTATTTGTAATGAAAGTGCCCTGTGGAAGACTTTTTATCGAAACAAGCTGGTAGCACTGTGAGGCTTGTCTTTCTTTCTCTGTCATTCTAGAGACAGAAAAAAGGTTAAGGTCTAAGACATTTTGCTTCTTGTTTGTGTGTGGATTGTATTAACTGATGAGAGATGTGGGGTTCCTCCCTCCCACCACAGTATGCAAGACCAGAGGAGGCCATGGCAGAAGGCAGCCTCAGATGAACAATGGCTTGTCGTTCCTTGGGCCTCTTCAACCTTCTGGAATTAAGTTGAAATGACTCTGGTACCAATGTTTGTAGACCAAAACACACCTTGGTCAGAAATACCACAACCCACCTTTCCATCTTAAACCCCAAGGCTTCTCAAACTCATGAGCTTATATAAGGAAGATTAATAATGAATGAAGAAGGTTCA